GTTGACCACATAAGTGGAACTTGAGTTTAGGAAACAGGTAGAAGTCCAAGGGTGCTAGTTCAGGTGAATTGGAAGGGTGGGGTTAGACTTCAAAGCCAAATTCGTTTGCTGCTGCCACTGAACCATGTGCTGTGAGGACAGGTGCATTTTCATCACGCCAGCTCGGTGCTTTCCTCTCCTTTTCTCTTTGACTGTTGTACTCAACTGTCGCAATTCTGTTGAATAGTACTCTCCATTGATGCGTTAACCCCTTCGCAGGTAGTCAATCATGATTACTTCCTTACCGTCCCAGAAAACAGAGGCAAAAACCCTGTCAACGGACGAAACTCTCTAAAACTTCTTGGGGGGCCGGGAAAAATTCTTCATCCATTGTTTGCTCTGCTGTTTTTATTCGGGCTGCAAGTGGTGAACCCAGCTCTTCTTGGGTTACAAATGTTTTGAGGAAATTGCATGGATTGGACTGAATTCGTTCCTTGAAATGTCCAGCCTGTTTAACTTCTGATGTTCAAAAAACATTAGAGGCACCCACCATGCAGACAGTTTTTTCATCCCCAGGATGTTCGACAAAACATTGTGAACTGAGTCATAACACAGGCCAAAGAACCTGCTACATGTTGGCCAGTCTCAAATCTGTCATTCACTACCATGTGATGGATGGCCTCAACTGGATTGTCCGTGGTGCTGATTTGTGGCATCCTGACATATGTTCATCTTTTGTGCTCTCCTTGCCGCGCTTATAGCTAGTAACCCACTTCTTTATAGTTGAATAAGAAGGGGAGTCATCACCAAGTGTCTTGACCATGTCTTCATGGATGTCCTTAGGAGACATCATTTTTTATCGATACACTTGATCAGAGCTCACGCGTCTGTTGCGGCCATTTTGTGATTTTCCCTCACCCGCCCCATTTTCATGGGGCGTCACGTGCTTATTAATGAATATAAAAATTTGAATTTTTGTGTGCAGTGATGTAAGACGTCATAGTATACAGCTATACCAAAGAATAGGAGTTTGACCTTTATTTTCTAGGTGAGGCCGAGAACTTTTTGAACACCCCTCGTATAACGGTGAAGGCGCAATGTATGACGTAATTTTCTCGGGCACTAGTACACACAGTCCACCACTTCCTGAATTCCTCCACGTACCACCAACTTGCCCCACACCTGGCGCGTGCTGAGCCACCTTAACACTTGACCTCCCTATCAATCAATTCTAACGAACTATTCACCTGTCACTCTCCCTTAAACCGTCTCAAGCATGCACAAACCCATACCCACAGACAACCCCCAAAGAAGGGTAGCTGCTGGACATATTGAATTTGTTTAGGGACTCAGAAACACCTACCAAACGACGGAGGAGAGAAAGACAGGTCGTAGTCCTCTACATGTTCTCCTGGAGTCGTCATTGGGTTGGGAAGAGAAAGGGGCACGGCAGAGGATGAGAACACTCAGTAAATATGTCATAAGGCAAGAAGAAGTCTTACTCGATCTTAATGTACAGAACATTGCAACCACAATAAAAACATGAGCGACCAGGAAAGAAGTATAAAGAGTGGTTGATATTTAATTTCTTGAGTGTGGTGGATAATGGAACAAAATACCTGACGATGGCGGGAAGAGCAGGTTAGGGTCCACCAGGTGTTCTCCGTTGTTGCCGGAGCCCTCGCACACGATCCGGGCCGTCCGCTTGTCGTGGGCCTGGTTCAGAATGCCCCCGTCCAGACGCTGAGGGTACTGCATGCCGGTCTCAAGGCATCCTGGGCACACCACGAAACGGTCGTAGCGTAGTCCTGAAGGATGAAAGATCGACATAATGAAACCGTCTGAAGTACACAATATTGATGGCTATGAAATAATATAATATTTGAATAGGCATGGAATTTAAAAGGTTGATTTCAAAATGCGACCACAACAAAAGTGGTCATAAGAAAGCATTTACTTTTAGACGAAGAAAACATGGCAGCTAACCACAACATTTCCTAACTATCTTCCTCCTACCTGGCCAGCTGCTGAGCAGAGTTTCCATCTCATTCAGAACCGGAACCAGGAGTCGCCACAGCCCGGTCACGTCGTCCCTCGTCCCCGCACGGCGATCGCTACGCTGGTGTGGTCGTCCAGGATCTCCCGCACGATTAGCAGGTGCCTCCCGTCCGCTCGCCCGTACACCCCGTTCACCCAGTCGATCCGGTGCGCCACGTACGGGTTGATCTTCGCACACAGCGTTCCGAACAGTCCCGGGGGGCAGAGCTTGTGGAGGAGAAACTCTATCTCGATCTGTTTCATTCCGACGGGGAGCGTCACGGGCCAGTTCTCCTGGTAGTCTTCAAATGTTTCCTCTTGCAGGAAGTAGGGAAAACGGAGGAGTTCGCTCATATCCTGGTTCTTGCGGGGTCGCATGGAGAAGCAGAGGCCGAAGACTTTCATGAGGCCGATAAGGGCGTCCACAACCTCGGCATCTACCTTTAAGATTGACAGAAGACAGTCGAGCATGTCTCGCGAGAGAACAGCCTGCCCCAGAAAGTCCCGTTTTGCTCGGGCGAAGCTGAATCTGTCAAAGTGTCCGAACTCGCTGAACACAGGGTTGCCGAAGTCAAGCAGTTCTTCTGGTTCGTGCTCAAAGACCGTTTTGAATGCATCCATCAGAAGTAAGGGTTGT